TTACAAATGCTCAGAAGTGAGTTTCTATAGTATTTCGCCCATGACTCATCAGCATCGAACTTCAATCAAACGGCCTCGATTTTCTAACATTGTTACTTTTCTACGAATTGGATTTATTTAAAATTTTGGATATGTATACATCAATCATATTACATAAATACCCCTAAAATATTCATAGGGGTAATGGGTGGATGTTTTTATTGTTTTATTATTTATTTATATACTTATGCCTTATTGAGGTATACAACATCAAACGTTGAGGTTAATACGATACGTAAATAAATATTAAAATTAAAAAGACTGTCAAATTACAGTTGTCTAATGGATTTTAGACTTTAGATGGTGAAGAGCCATGAACAAAATATTGTAAAATATTGTAAGGCATTTTTAAGTATTTTTCACACATATACACATGAGATATCCTATAAAATGGTCTTATTGTTTTATTATTTATTTATATATTATTTATGTATGCCTTATTGAGTTGTATACCATCAAAATTTGATGTTAATCCGATTTGTAAAGAAATATTAAAATTAAAAGATTATCAAATAATCACGGTTATTTGATGGATTTTAGACTTTAGAGGGTGAAGACCCATGAACAAAATATTTTAGGGCGTTTTTAAGTGTTTTTGCACACCTACACACATAAGATACCCTATAAAAAAAAATCTTATTTCTTTATTTTTGTTGCTCAATATTCTAGAAAATCCAAGGACAAAAACATTTCTAAAATGGGAATTTCTTGTGGTTTGTATTCATGCCTGTGGACAATTAGAAAAAAAAAAAAATGAAGAAAATATATAAAGTTTAAAAATATTAAAATAAAGTGTTTAGTAACCTTAAATTCTTCTAAAAAGTAATAATTTTTATAAAAGACTAGTAAAATGCTCGTACGTTGTACAAGCATTGTAGAAATAAATTATATTAATTGGTAAATTATGGTAATCAAATTACATAATTTCATAGGAGAAGCTTAATTCTAGCTATTCCATATTTATCCAAAAATTTTGAAGTAAAATCCTAGGTTCATGCTATGTGAAACCTGATTTCAAAGTGACAAAAAAAAATACAAAGAGAAACCCGAATCAAGAATTTCCCTTTAAAGCTCAAAATTCTAGCTATTTCATATTTAATCCTAGTTTTATGCTATGTAAAACCTGATTTCAAAGGGAAAAAAAATTAATTACAAAGAGAAACCCTAATCAAGATTTTTCTTTAAAAAACTCAAATTCTAGCTATTGAATATTTAGTAAAGAAATTACAAAGTAAAATCCAAGTTTCATACTATATAAAACCTGAATATCTGAGGGAAATAAAATAATTCTAAAGGGAAACGCTAAT